TATATATATATATATATATATATATATATACACATACATACATACATACATACACACACATATACATACACACATACATATTTATTTATTACTTACTTATCTACTATATTTGTATATCATTCCTTCCCAAAGGCTCTGGGCAGCTAACAATTGGAAACTTTGTTTAAAAAAAGAAAATTAAAAATAAATAAAAATAAACACTAAAAAAATAATAACAAAAATCTCAACATTATCAAGATAGATAGATGGATGGATGGATGATAGATGGATGATAGATGGATTGCTTTGCAGATGACTACATCCAGAGCCACACAGGACCTTATAGGTGACAACCAGAACCTTGAATTGCACCTGGAAGCCAACTGGAAGCCAGCTCAGCTCCCAAAGTTGTGTGGTCACTCAAATATAACAGGAGACATTCATCATGGCCCAGGGCTGCCGCATTTTGTATAGCTTCCAAATGCTTTACCAGGGCAGCCGAATGTAGACCATGTTATAGTAATCCAAACAGGAAATGACTATGCATAAGTGAATGGGAGCAAGACTTCCCAATCCAAGAATGGCTGCAATTAGTGTACCAGATGCAACTATTCAAAAGTCTACCTGGCTGCAGCTGTCACCTGTCTGAACAAGAGATGTGAGTCAAGGAGGACCCACAATTGTGGACCGCTTTGAGCCAGGGAATACAACCCTGTACAGAGTTCCTGGGTCAATATTTCCACTGTTTGGTGTGAAGTCAAGATATATCACTGAGGATATCTGACTGTGCTGGTGGATAACCACTCCCAATGGTTTCACATAGATGTCAAAGGAACCTGGGGCATTCCACACAATAGAGGTCTCTGGGCAGAGCTCTTATCTCCTCCCCCAATGAAAAACAACCCCTTAGGAAGAGAGAGAACCATTGAAGAACAATATGTAGGTGAGAATTGACTTCTTCATTTCCCACTCAAAGTTATACAGTCCCCACCCAAAAATAGGTAACAAACAGCAAGTTCTCTACTACTGTTAATCTGACATGGCCATCACAATTGGGCTATCATGTTTTCTTCTATCTTGGCTCTCTTCAGACCTGAGACTTGACTCTGATTGAGTAGCCATGGAAATTGTACATGGCTTCTTTTGACCTAGTTGCCTTCCTTTTCAGAAGATGCCAACAACTTCATCAGTGTTGGGGCAGCCAGTACAGCTAGTGAGTTTGGATGACAATGGGAATCTCTATTTGGATGCAGAGGCTCTAAGTAGCTGCTTAGAGCAGGAAGAGGTGAAAGATACTCCTGTCTGCTTGATTTCCACCATTGGGGAACAACGGCGGGGTAAATCTTTCTTGCTCAATTTCCTCCTGCGGAAGCTTAAAAACCTAGTAAGTCTGACAATGATTGTATATTTTTTTAGTGTTTTAAAATGGTTTGGATTGGATGATGCTCCTCCTATGATCTTATAGCGTTTTGTAGTTTTTATCCAAGAAATCAAACATGCAAAATGAGTTTATATGCATTGCATTTTGTACATGTTCAACCTTCTAAAGAAAGAAGAAAGGGAGATGTATAAAGTATACACTCCTTTTCTGAAAATGCAAATGTATCAGCTTAATCAAGGAATATTACCATCCAAGCTAGCCCAGTATCACAGTATCTCACCAGTATCTCAGTGGTAGAGTACAAGTGGCTCTCAAGGGATTCCTAAACTATGACTCCCAGGAGATTTATGCCATGGATAAATCACAAAAGAACAATTAAAGAATAAATAATAAAAAAAGAATAAAACAATAAAAATGCATTTCATCAAAAGGCAAATTGATCATCTTGCAGAATTAGAGAGAAAGTTGCTTGGCCAAGTAACTTTTGATATTTTGGAAAATATGTGTTATTTGACTAACCACGCTACTGCAGCAGCCATATATTTCCTATCTCATTTATTTCTTCTTTGTTGGCAGGCTGCTACAGATAACTCTTGGATGGGCCAAGAAGATGAGCCACTGACAGGTTTTGAATGGCATCCAGGAATTAACTGCATCACCAAAGGGATATGGATATGGAATCAGCCGTTTTTGGTTCCTAGTGAAAATGGAAAGGTAAATGTTTCAGAGCTCAATCCAAGAAGTAACTTCTCTTTTCTGTCTGTCCTTTGCCTCCCTCTTTGTGGCCCCTGTGTCAGCTTTTTCACGAATTTTCTGAATGTAATGCATTTCCTATCCCCAACACATCACAGCAGTCCCAAAACTGAACAAGATTTTATTGCTGCTAACCACAAACTTGATAGTATGATAGAAAACATAGAGCTTACCATAAACAATATTGCTTGGCCAAGCTGGAAGTCGGTCTAGTAGACTTGTCTGCATAATTGATTGATTGATGACATGCCATGAAGTCAATGTTGATTTTTAGCAACCAAATAGACAAATTTTCTCCACAATGATCTATCCCTAACCTGGTCCTTCAAGTCTTCTAATGGTGCACCTATCACTGTTGCAATTGTGCCCATCCATCTTGCTACTGGTTGTCCTCTTTCCGTCTACCTGTGCCATCATTAGAGCCTTCTCCAGAGAGCTAGTGCT